AAATGTAACAGGCAGAAGGAGGCGTGGCAGACCCCACAAAGTATATATATTCTTGGTTAGCATGACGAGACGAGTCGATCTAGCCCTGTCTGTCTGTCTGTCCGTATGAACACCTGGATCTCAGAGACTATAAGAGGTAGAGACACCAAACTTTGCACAAAGATGCGCTATGGGGGTTTTCCTTCATCCTTTGGGTACAGGCTATAAAAAGCTAAAGCTACACTGTACATATGTTTACAATAATTATAGAAAATAAAAAAAATTAAGAAAATAAAAAAAATTTGATCGATTTTACCTCTCTCGGTATTCGAACTCACGTAAAGGGTTTATAATTGCACATTTACATAGCAGATGCGTCTGTGTGAGTGTATGTATGCCTATGCGTATCTATTCGTGTCTGTGTAAGCATTTTCGCAGTCAACCAAACAGCAACATCAACAACAGCCGCGGGCAGCGCTGCAGCAGCAAATATATTTATGGCTATGGTAGGTAGGTAGGTCGGAGCGGCAGCCAGGGTATGCACCCCGACTCACTTAGGCCTTGGAGATTGGCCCGTTGTGATACCGCATGGACAAGTCCACTTCCCAAAATACCCGTGTTTGGCTGCATGTCTGCGCGAGTATTACGTCCATCCAGCTGCCTGGATGAACTTGAAGATGTCTATCGGCTTCTTGTTTGCTAGTGCCGATAGATTTGGTAGGAGACTGTCTCCTAGGAATCGTTGTCTTGTTCTTGACAAGGCCGGGCAGTCGCAGAAGAGGTGTGTTACCGTTTCCTCCTCTTCCACGTCTCTGCAGCTTCTGCAGAAATCGTTATGGTGGAGTCCTAGTCTGGCGGCATGGGTGCCCACCAGCCAGTGCCCTGTGATGGCTCTGATTACGACTGAGCATTGGCTTCTGCTCAGTTTGCAGAGTTCAGAAGATCGTCTCTTGTTGAGGATTGGCCATGTTTGGCGTGTGATTTTACAGGAGCCTGTGTCGGTGGTCCACATTTGATTGGCGACCAAGTCAAAGTGGTTTCGGACTGACAGTTTACAGCTGGCCATCGGTGTACCGACGCTCTCCTTGTCTGGAAGGAGGGAGGCGGTAGTACCGTGTCTTGCCAGCTCATCGGCTATGCAGTTTCCCTCGATATCCCTATGGCCTGGGACCCAAATGAGGTATATAGAGAGCTGTGTTGCCATCTCGTGAAGAGATTTGCGACAGTTCTGTACTGACGTCGAGTTCGACGTGATGGCGTTAAGGGATTTTATAGCCGCTTGGCTATCCGAGTAGATGCAGATTTCTCTGGTATGTGTGGCTGGGCTTGGCAGTATAAGAAGAGCTTCTTGAATGGCTATTACTTCCGCCTGGAACACACTGCAGTGATCCGGTAGCCTGAAGGCTTTTCTGATTCCGAGTTCTTCGCAGAAGACACCCCCGCCTACGCGGTTGTCCAGCTTAGAACCGTCTGTATATATTTTGATGGAATTGGTTGGGCCTGGCCGAAGTTCCAATCTTCCCTAGAGGGAATGATGGTGTGGAAAGGAGTATGTGGATACTCCTCTGCGATGCAGTGGTCAGTGACTGATGGGATATTGTCATTTCCCCTCAGAATTTTGGCATGGCCAAAGCATTCTTCTGACCACTGGTTTGTTTCTCTCATGCGAAGAGCCGCCAGCGTGGCGTTCATTTTTCCCATGAGATGTATTGGGAGTATTCCCAGAATTGCATCTAGTGCATCATTTGGAGTAGTGCGTAAAGCGCCCGAGATCGTTAGTTCAGCCTGTCGCTGAACTTTGTTAAGTCTCTGAAGAGATGAGTTTTTCGAAAGTGATGGCCACCATATGGAGACACCATATAAAAGTATGGGTCTGATTATTGCAGTATATAGCCAGTGGAACACATGGGGGGCCATGCCCCATTTCAGTCCAATGGATTTTCTGCAGGTATAGAGTGCGATTGTGGCTTTCCGCACTCTGTCTTCAATGTTCAAGTTCCAGTCCAGCTTCCTATCTAGTATCAAGCCTAGATATTTGGCTGAGCTGTTGAAAGCTAATGGTACCCCATTTAGTAATGGGGGACGAAGAGATGGGATTTTGTATTTCCTCGTGAATAGTACCAGCTCAGTTTTGCTGGGGTTTACACTTAGGCCACTTAACGTTGCCCAAGTTGAAAGTGTGCTTAATGCGTCAGTCATGCGTTCGCACAAGGTTTGGGGAAATTTACCCGAGAAGGAAATGGTCACGTCATCTGCGTAGGCTATCGCGCGGCATCCCCCTATCCCTTCTAAGGATCGTAGGAGTGAGTTAACTGCCACGTTCCATAAGAAGGGTGAGAGCACCCCACCCTGAGGCGTTCCGCCACTCACATATCTAGATACCGTGGACATCCCCAGTGTAGACTTAATGGACCGCCTAGTAAGGAGCTGTCTTATCAGTTCCACAATGGAGTTGTCCATCCCTAGATCGGTGAGTGAGCCTGTGATGGCGCTTGGAGACACATTGTTGAAAGCACCCTCTATGTCTAGGAAGGCGATTAGTGTATAATGTTTGACTTTGAGAGCTTTTTCGACGCCCGAAGTGACAGCATGGAGTGCCGTTTCTGTAGATCTGCCTTTGCAGTATGCGTGTTGAGAGCTTGAAAGCTCTGAGAGGTGGATCTTACTTCTCAAATAGAGACCCATTAATCTCTCGAATGTCTTTAATAGAAAAGATGAAAGAATTATCGGCCTGAAATCTTTCGGGGTAGTGTGCGAGGCTTTACCTGCTTTGGGTATGAAGACCACTCTTGATCTCAGCCAAGCTTCTGGAATATTCCTTGTCAGGAAGATCTTGTGAAAAATATCTGCCAGCCATCTGATGGCAGTATTTCCTGCGTGAATAAGCTGCGCCGGAATGATATTATCCGGCCCTGCAGACTTATAGGGCTTGAAGCTTTTTATTGCCCATCTGATATTATTTTCAGATAGAAGATAGGGTGGCGTTTGAGATGGACCAGCGCTTGCTGAACGGCCGGTTGGTTTGATGCTTGTAGAGCTGGGAAAATGGGTGCCTAGAAGCAGCTCTAAAGACTCTTGACTCGAGGTCGTCCAAGTCTTATCTGGCTTCTGAAGGTACCCTAGCGTTGAGGGAGTTTTAGAGAGGACCTTCCTTAACCTTGCGGCATATATGGCTATAACTTCTTGTTAAATCGGTCTATCATAGTGAAACTTGGCATACGGACACATAATAACCAACTGGGGGTATTTCCGAAATTAGTGCGAAATTCCAAGAATTAATGGAGTTACGATTTGCGGGGTTGAGAGAGGAGGGAGGGAAATTCCAAAATATACATTTTCTGCGTATTCACATAAGGCATCTGGGACTAAAATTTGGTGTTCCTAGGTCTTATAGTCTCCGAGACATAGGCGATTATACGAATGGAAAATCGGGAAAACCCCCATAGGGGGGAAGTGGGGGGGGGGGGAATCAAAAAAATAAAACAAACTCGTATAGAATACACACATAACGCATCTTTGTGCAAAATTTGGTGTCTCTATCTCTTATAGTCTCTGAGATCCAGGTGTTCATACGGACGGACAGACTGACAGTCGGACAGACGGACAGACAGACAGGGCTAGATCGACTCGTCTCGTCATGCTGATCAAGAATATATATACTTTGTGGGGTCTGCCACGCCTCCTTCTGCCTGTTACATTTTTCAGCTCCCGCAAACCTAGTATACTGTGTACATTTCATGCACAGAGTATAATTAGCAGGTCAACCACTCTCATATAAACTTCAACTGTAATTTTTTTAGGGGAATTATTTCCATCTTTTTAACACCCAATTTCGATCCATGGGATTTCTGCCACACTCTTGTATGAACCTGGTTGAACAAACGATTTGCTCTAGCTAGGTATTTAATAGCTTCAGCTACTTCTTCAGCATGTCGATAGTAAAGATCTTGTCGTAGCACTCCATAAGTCAGGGCCAAGACTATAGGGCTAAGGGAATATTGACTCTACGATTTTATCCATCAATTCATCCTATAGAATTATAACTAATTGTAAGGCCGGGTTTCCGCATGACGTTTTTTTGCCCAGTCCCCTGTGGGTTTAAATTTATTTTTTCTCCCCAACATTTCAAACTTTCTCCTCTTGCTAGCCTCGATACTACTTTTCAGATTATGACGAGCAGCTTAATTTTGATCGCCCTCAGTGACAGCTTCGTAACAGCATCTGGTTCCCGTCAAAAATTAAAATTTTGATTAAATAATGCACGATGCATTTAAAAAATAACTTATGCATATGATCAATGAAAAAAATGCTCATTCATTCAGCTGCGATTTCGGATCAGGAAATCATATAGAAATTTCCTGTTATCTAGAATTTAGATTAGCTTGAGATCTCAGAAGTGCAAATATTGCCTGCCAAATTGGCCAAGAACAGCACAATTTTGGCAGGGTTCACGACTTGCTCTGATTAATAGCGCTAATATTCACCATGCTAAAGTCTAGCCTCCATGTCTGAGATTAAAATTTTCCACAATCTCTTGCGTTTATATGGTTGGAGCTTACAGCACAAATTTTAATCGTCACGTTACCAAAAGTCACTTGGGGGATACATGGATTTTCTAATGCCACGCCTAATCCTACTACCAATCAGAACAAAACGCAAACTTTACATCGTATTCACTTTGTTTGAAATCACCAGTTTACATTTCCAAACCTAGAACTAGCAGTATCGCATTTAATGGATGACGTTCTGGCTAGCATTACTCAGAGCATACCATTCGATCTTAAAATACACTGCTGGTTTGTAATTTAAAATGATTTCGTCTTCAAGAGAGTTGCTAAAATGCAAGAGCAGACAAAGGGATTGATTTGTCATCATGTGCCATTACAAATGAATTAATTGATAAAATGGTTTATGCAGGAGTAGACAGAGGGTTTTTAAAGTTGGGCCACCTCGACTGAAACATACGGTTTTTGTTATGTTTTTATCTATATATTAGTTAAAAATTCAATGTACATACTTACCTCGTATATGTGGGAACTTTTTCTCGACCGTCGTCAGTTAGTAAATATTTCGAGATAAGATTCCAATTCTGCTCGTCATAGTTTACTGGAAACGGGCCAATTTCTTCTTGATTCACAATAATGAAGTTATCATTAGAGGGCATGTTGTCAATATTCAATTGACTGGTGTTTCCCATCCAAACGTAAGGCTCGCATCTAGAAAAGTCTAGCTTATCTTGGCGACTTATAGTAATTGGAATCCACCAAAGCATTTTATCCTTTCCTGGAACGTCATGAGGCCTCTCTCGGAGATATACTTTTTGTTTTACTGTCAGAGTTTTCTTTAAATAATCCCTATCCGCGTTTATAACAGGAAGGCGGTCTTTGGAAAGCCACGAATTAGCAATTTCCGCCACATTATATTGGCTTAGCAGCGTACTGTCCCCCAATGCTTGTTTAGTTAGAGCGTTCCATAAATTATCCGCCGAAAATGTGCTATAAAAGTGAGCAGATAAAAATGATCGGATTCCATTTTGAAAGGTATTTTTCCCCAGTGTTAAATGTAACATTCGTATTACAAGCTCAGTTTTAAATGACGTTGTCTCTTGTTTCATGGCAGTAATACGGGAATGAGGATACCTCTTGCTGAACTCATAGTAAATTGAGTAAAGCTTTGTCATAGGATATTTACCGTTAAACTCAACTCCTCCATCAATCTGCATAGTGATATTTTTTATTTATATTTAGTTTAATGTTTTCGCTATTAGTTGTACATACCTGTATTACAATTTCGGAGGCCAAGAAAGATGAAAGTGCTTTATTTATGTGAGCATCGGCCCACCAGAATGGCGTGACCCATGACCCAAGCCATTGGCTAATAAGCTCTTGGGTCAATATATAAAATCCTTCATTTAATAATTCTTCTTTTCTGTACGTAAGGCATTTGAAATAATAACAATATATATATGTTGTGTAGAAGGTATTCAGTAAAATTATAATATAACCATTGTATCGCCCTCTCTTACATTCCTTTAACTAAACTGTTGCTTAAACCATTAATTTGAAACAATATGTATATTCTGTACCTAAAAGGTGCAAGAGTATATTGGGTTTACGGGAAGTGAAAAATGTAACATTTAGAAGGTGACGTGGCAGACCTCACAAAGTATAAACGTGTATATGTATGCTTGATTAGCATGACAATACGCGTCGAACTGGAGACAGGACAAGTCTGTCTGTCCGTATGAACATCTGAATCTCAGAGACTATAAGAGATAGGGATTCAAAATATTGCACATCTTATGTGTGTACACAGTCTGAGTTTGTTAATATTTTTTGGATTCACCTCCCTTATTGCCCCTTTAGAGAATTTGCCATAGCGTATAATCTCATATACATATCTCGGAGATTACAAGACTTACGGACACCAATTTTCGTCCAAGATGCCTTTCAGAAATACGCAGAAAATGAGTATTTTGTACTTAAATTTTTTTTTTTTTTTTGTGTGGTGGTATAAGTTGTTAAAGAGTTGAGCCCGCTCAACTTTAGCATTCGTTTTTACACATATATATTTTTCATTACTTACCGTCTTCCCGCCTAAGCTATAGGGTCTGTATCAGTACTTTTCTTTAGCTTCAAAAGAAAGCGTGTGAGTTAGGATGAATCGTTTCTTGAATATGAGCAGGAATGGCTAGGAATTTGTACATTGGGGCTCACAATGCAAGTATTATCGAACGAGTAATTCGCTCGTCTTGTCATTCTGATCAATAATATATATACTTTGTGGAGTCTGCCACGCCTTTTTCTGTGTGTTACATACATTCGCACAAAACTAATAAAGCCTTTTACCCTTTGTGTACAGGATATAAAAAGGGGTTATGCAGTTAGAAAACCGAGATTTAGTGGTGGAGCAACATAAACCCGGGACGCCACTTATAAATGAGTATATTATAGATAACTTACCTAATTAGAAGTAAGCCCCAATTGTTCACTGGTTGGATAAATGATACTTCTGGTATACCAACAATATCAATTTTCTTAAGAGGAACCGTCACATTAAAAAAGTTTCTTATAAGATTATATATAAGTTCTAGTTTATGTTGAATTTTCTGAAAAATGTTGAGAAAATAATTAGTACAATAGAAAATAAGAAACAAATGTTAATGCGGATTGCGGATTTAAGATTTGGCTTAAATACCCTTTCAAAAAAAAAACCCATTTTTTTTATAATTAAATTTAATAAAAACAAGAACAGAAGCTAAAGTCGGGTGTCCCGACTTTGAAATACATGTTTAGAATAATAAGAAAATTAAAAAAAAAGAAAGGAATGTGCTGACCTACAGAGTTTTTTCTGCAGATATTTAGTTTCTTCAAAATAATAACACGAAATGTTCGAAAATATAAATTGGGGTTGCAGGCGCGCTTATTTAATATTTAATATATTGTGTGCGATGCAAGCGGCCCTTCGATGGCCGTGCTCTGGAGCCAGACACAATATACAAAATACGAAACGAAAAAGGCCGCACGCTGCCGAACTCGAAAATGTACAAGAATAGGCGAAGTAGCAACGACAACTTAATTCAGTAGCGACGAAACAAAAACGACAACTGGGTTCGGTAAAGGCGAAAAGGCAACTGGCTTCTTTGAAGTTGAAATAGTAACAGGCTGTGCCCAAATTGCAGCAGCCTAATTTAATCTATGCAGAAGACAAATGAGCAAACGAAAGAACAAACGAAAAGTATAATGCGTACCAACAAACAAGCGTGGTGTGATAAATACGTTAAAACACTCACGCTGCGCAGAGCAATGCTACTCAAACTTTAAATTAAAATTAATGATGCATTGACTGCTGGACCAAACAGAATACAAAAGTTGAGCGAGCTCAACTCTTAAATACCCTGTATCTCCCCACAAAAAGGAAAAAACGGAAAAAAACTTATTTTCAAATTATATTAATTAAATTGTTTAATTCAATTAAAAACAAATTATTCAATACATATATACAAAAGCGGAGACATGTTTATGTACCGTTTCAATAGCATGCATTTACATTAGAATCGTGTCTCTGCGTGTTTATATGCGTGTACGTATGCAGCAGGGCTGTCAACGAACTAATAACGCAAACATGTTATGGCGACGAAAAGAATAAACATGACACCACTGCGACTCAATATCGAATGCTCCTCCCACTGGAAAAACTTGTACAGAGAAACTGCGACGTTACTACTATACTTGAAGATCCTTCAAGCCAGGTGTACCGAAGATAAGCTAGGGAAGACACTTACAAAAGCACAACAGGAAGCTTTCAACATATAATTAGCAGATCTCCAGGCCAAGGGTATAATCCTTCAACCAAGTAAACTAATCGCGTTGAATGCTTACCTTGACACGAGGTCGCAATCAATCGATCAATCAAAAAAGTAAAACAAACTTGCACAGCGAACACACTTAAGGCATCACTCTGAAAAATTTGATGTCTCTATACGTATAGTCCCTGAGATTCAAACGGACAGAAAGACAGACGGACAGATAGACACCCTGTCACACGGACTCCACGCGGCACCACTGCTCAACACCCGTTGAGAGTGAACTAACTGTGTGAGCAGCGAAATCAAAACCGAGATCAGCAAGGTTTCGGTCATGGTATACTGGAACACGGCATGAAATTGACAACCACGAATGCGGTATTCTGTTCCCTCAGTACACAGAAATGAAATCCTGTGGAAATGGCGTTCAGGCTAATGCTGCAGTGCTACTAAAGTCCAGCAATCCTTTAAGTACGTTCGCTGTCTCGTCGCCATTAAGATGGCGGTATAGGCGCAGTTGAGTTTACTCCTGCGTAACACCCGCCCCGGCAGAACACAGAATCCCATAACGATCTGTGCCAACCCATGCGGGGCCTCCCTGCATGCATATATATAAAGTATAAAATGGAACTATAAAAGGGAACTATAAATTCGAAAAGCGAGAGCGGCTTGAAGTTGGGACCAAAATTAAAAGATAAATAAAAGATAAAAAAGCTAAAGTCGGGTGTCCCGACTTTTAAATACTCTGTACATATGTTTACAATAATTATATAAAATAAAAAAAAAAATTTGATCGATTTTGCCTCTCTCGGTATTCGAACTCACGTAAAGGGTGTATAATTGCACATTTACATAGCAATTGCGTCTGTGTGAGTGTATGTATGCCTATGCGCATCTATTCGTGTCTGTGTAAACATGTGTACAGTCAACCAAAGCACCAGGATCAACAACAGTCGCGGGCAGCGCTTGAGCAGCGCTGCAGCAGCAAATATATTTATGGCTATAACTTCTTGTTATCATAATGAAACTTGGCACACGGACACATAATAACCAACTGGGGGTATTTTCAAAATTTTAGTTCGAAATTCCAAGAATTACGGGAGTTAGAGAAAATCGCGATTTGCATGCGAGAGGGGGAGGGAGGGAAATTCCAAAATATACATTTTGTGCGTATTCACATAAGGCATCTGGGACTAAAATGTTGTGTTCCTAGGTCTTATAGTCTCCGAGATATAGGCGAATTCCGAATGCAAAATCGGGAAAACCCCCATAGGGGGGAAGTGGGGGGGGGGGGGGGAGAAATCAAAAAAATAAAACAAACGCGTATAGAATACAAACATAAGGCATCTTTGTGCAAAATTTGGTGTCTCTACCTCTTATAGTCTCTGAGATCTAGGTGATCATACGGACGGACAGACAGACAGACAGGGCTAAATCGACTCGTCTTGTCATGCTGATCAAGAATATATATACTTTGTGGGGTCTGCCACGCCTCCTTTTGCCTGTTACATTTTTCAGCTCGCGCAAACCTAATATACAAGTACTCTTGTACAATTCATGTGCAGAGTATAAAAACAACAACAACGACGTATTATACTTTTGGAGTTTCTAAAATGGAAGACGAGGCTAGCGTTTTCCAGAAATTAGTGCATTAGAAAAGTTGCACAAAACCACCAAACTATTGCTTGTATGTGCTCCAGAAAAAGAGAAGGCCCACAATCAACACCCAGAGGCAGGACAAATGATGACGGGACACGGTTACTTTAGCTTTACTTTACTTTCTACACAGGATAGGAAAAAGCACAGAACCTAGCTGTGTATACGAAGACGCCGACATGGATAACGTGGAGCACACAATATTCCACAGTGAACAATTCGCTGGGCAACAAAGCCGCCTAACACAAGAAATCAGAAACATCACAGCGGAGAACATAATTGGAAAAATGATCAACAGCGAAGAGAACTGGAGACTAGTCGCTGAATTTGTAGATGACCTTCTTTGACTAAAGAAGAGAGACTTGGATGAAAGGTCATTTTTTTAATTAAAAAAAAGCTGTTTCTAACTGGAAGAAAGGGCACAAAAAGCTGAAAATGTATAGAAAAAAACCTAAAAAAAAGCGGTTTTACCAATTTATGTTGTAAGGTGATATTTACATTAAGTCATTCAGTTCTGCGAGGTTCGCATTTGTACGACATGGTAGTATCATGCGTAAATAATTATTAGGCAATTAATAATAATTAATAGTCAAAGCAGCATAGTTTTGTCAGGCAAATTGACAAAGTCTATTTTTGTTGTTGAATAAAACAGTTCATTGCACTTTGTTGTTGCATGAGTGCGCAAATCACTAAGCTTGGCTGTGATAGTGATCTTGCAACAGCTGCAGTAAGCCCTATGCCCGCCCGAGTCATCTTTGCGAATCAAAGTCTTGAATTCTTCGCTTTCTAGCCAAGCATCTCGGCAGTTTGGTAGTACATAATTCTGTTTTTACACGTAGATTGGTTTCAGAACAAAACCGTGTAAAAAAAGACATTGATCATATACAAAAATTCTAAAACCTATTAAAATCAGTGAAAAAGAAGGATATATGTTTATTTTATTAAAACACATCGTGACGCAGAATCCCGCTGCGTCACAATTAACTATAATTATATTTCTTAATCCTTATTATATTATAAATAATATTACACATTGTATACTCGCTAAATCTTATATCACATTATATTCCTTTCTTATTGTATTACTAGTTTTAAGATTCCATTACTATTGCACATTGAATTTCCTTTATACCAATTGAACTGTTACTAGACTTAAGATACAATTGTATTTCACCACGCTGCATACGATTAGAATTCTAAGTCAGCGACCCTTTGAAATGGAGAAAGGGCAAGCAAGCTGGCATCGCCGCCCACGCTTAGATAGGTATTTTGAAGTAGGAGAGAAATGGTCACACCGCATGAAGCTACAAGCCAAGGAGAGAACGGAAGCTCCATCTCTTTTTCCGTGTACCGCGAACCCGAGCAGACGTGCCTCGCGCTCTTCTCCGGCGACCATTCACAACGATAGACGTGCGACGCGACGGATACAAGCAGCGAAACACAGGAGCTAACCTAAGTTGACCGAGGTAATTAAATCGAAGTGAGTCTGAAGAATCCTCAAATAAGTGTGGTGCAAAGTAGGGTCAACAAGCCATTGTGAGTAATATTTCAGTGCGCGTTTAATTGTTTCATCCAGAAATCCTCCGCCACTATGAGCGCGGCTTGCATATATACCAGGCTTGAGTCGGTATATATGTAAAGTGTGACTACAAAAGCAAGCAAGTGTTGGTTGTTATATTTAGCCGTGCATGAGCCGGCAGCCGCATCCCCCAGCGCCAGCGGGGGACGCGACGCGATATATGAAATGGTCCGCTTGACCAACGGAGTTTTGGAAGTTATATTTGTAGCGCATGAGCCTGCAGACATAACGTCAAAACACCGGCCACGCGGCGACTGATACCTTATAGTGAAAATACGTAGCTTTAAATAAATTAAAAATAATTAAGCAGTAGAATTTTTTCTTACTTTATGTTATTTAAACAGTTGCAAATATTTACTTGTAAGTTAAAAAACTAAATAAGGTAATATTAAGTTGGGGAACATGGATTTGACTTTATTTCAAATACTTATAGTAATTAAAATGTTATGCATTTTGGAAATTAAGTCATTTCAAGTCGACTCAAAGGTCCTACAATCAAAATACAAAATCTACAATTGTTATCCGATTAACTTCAAACTTAGTTTATATACTCTCACAAAGAATACAA